AAACATGAGCAAAGTAGAACAAAATACCCAAAGAAATGAACAAATACATGCAGACATATGTTCATGCAGAAAATTTTTTAACATGCAGACAATACAGAAACCTACTGAAAAACAGCCATATCATAAATGTGCTTTAAACTTGTAACTGGAAACAAAGATATTTTCTACATTTAAACTGCAAAAAGTTTTTCAGAAGGTTTAAAGAAAAAATGTGTAAAATATCCTTTGCCTCTTTCATAAAATAATGAGCATTTTTATAGGGTTTCATAACATGTAATAACAGTGAAATATAAAATTATTCATATTAATTTTTAGCATTAATAATATGAAACATTCCATATATCATAATTAAATTAGTATAACATGGAAATGTGATAGAGAATATTTTGTTTTATCTGCAAATAAAAACAGTTGGAGTAAAATGTGTTAAAACCAAAGAAAAATGAGCTTGACACTACACAATGCAGATACTGATACTTCCACAAAAGATCTAAATAGACATGAATTTGGATTGGAGAGGGAGAGAACATTTGAGCTACATGATTGAAATCTTTATAGATTTCCCTCAAGCACCCACCATAATTAGCAGAAGTAAAAGCCAAGACTTCAAATATTGATTTTCAAAGTAGATAGATCCTCTTCAATTAGAAGATTGAGTATAGCACTATTTTCCACTTTCTTTTGTTTGGCCTTGTATCAGATTAAAATAAAGAAATATTTATATTGAATTTTGATGAACTTACTTCTGTGTTGTATCCCTTCAAGACGTGGACAGTCACGGCTTTCCACAACTTCCTGTCCTTTGTTGCACTTATTAGGATTTGTCTTTTTGTTATCTCTCCTAATCTCTATTCGGCCAACCATTTACACAAGCTCCTTATGTAGGTTATTCAGTTTTTCTGTCTCTCTTGCCTTCAATATGTCCCATGAGTGACACGACTTAAATAATGACAGTTGTCTATATTTGAGACCTCTGCTAAATTAAAAATGTTTAAGCACATTTTACTATGACAACAGAAAATAATTATTTTGAATTACATAAAATATACATTACTTTCTTTAGATTTAATAAAATTAGCCAGAAATTTTTATTTTTGTCAGGCTTTATTAAAAAAGGATAGATATTTTTTTTCTTTAGTGAGTTGCTAGTAGTTATGACTGATAAGAATTCTATCATGGTGTAATGGTTAAGCATGTTAGTCTTGCAAAGCATAACTATTTAGCAATATTATCATGAATCTGATGGGATGAAACATTGTCAATCATTATTCATTTTCAAACATTATTTCTTCCAGTTTAATTTCAACTATTTTTCATTATAACTACTTAGATTGTCATTTTACAGTCATTAGAAAACAGTGCAGATCAAATACAAGTAAAAAAAACTTGTTCTTTTTTGTTAATTGATGCTGCTTTTCTGACCAACATGATCTGACTAGTTATGATGAAAAAACAACTGAAATTGGAGAGAAAAAAAAAAACAAAAAAAAACGCGGGACAAAAAATAATACTGAGTCATGAACTCAAGTCTCCCTAGAGACTTTATACTTATAACCTTGTTCCTAGACTAAGCTAAGCTTCATAAATAATTTGGATAGATCAGTGATCCCTAGTTTCAAATGTACATCTTTTATGTCAACTGTGAATTGATACAATAGTGATTTATTTCCTATTTTTATATTCAAAACTTAGCAAACATTAACAAGTTTCAAAACAGTTTTGGCAGTTTGTTTTGAAAGTAAGCATAATAGCCATAGCAGCAAGAACATGCCTAAAGCATAAAGTACTGAACAATTTTTAGCTAAGCATTTGCAGGATTCTTATTCTGATTTTAGTGAAATAGAGTTTTGTTTTTACTTTCTGCCATACATTCTCTATCCCCTTTCCACACCGAAAAAAAAAAAAACAAAAAACAACACATCTGAAAATAATCTAACAACAAATACTTTTTGTGCTACTATAACAAAAGCAAACAGCATTTTAATTCTTATAAATATGAACATACTTTAGCATTGAGTTAAACCAGTGACAGAATTCAATCCATTTTCCATCTTTAATTTTATTATCCAAACATTAAAAAAAAAAAAAAAAAAGACTTTTGTTGGCTTAACTTAATGTATTAATCAGGAGATTGTTTCAAGGAAATAACCAGCACAAACAAATTCTTCTTGGGTAATTTTTTCTTTTGTTTAAGTGATAAATTATTGTCAGGAAAAAATCTGGTTTCCTCAATCAACAAATCACACAACTAAATGCCTTAAATGGCAATTCTAAACTTAAATAACTTAGTTGATTTCTTACATTGCATAATTTAGAAATTCACAATAGATTTATTCTTTATGAAAAATAGTTAAAAAAAGACTAAGGTTAGCAGATACAATTTGAATAAAATACAGTACTACTTAACTGCAGAATATGCATTTCAAGACAGCCCTCTTTTCCAGTGGATGCTTGATATTGCAAACAGTACTTAAACTACATACACTATGTTTTATTCCTATACAGAATGATAAATTGGCAAATTAGGTACAATAAGAGATTGACAGCAATAACTAATAAAATAGAAAAATCTAACATTATACTCTAATAAAGGTATTGACAAAGAATTGTTTCTTACTGTAGATCTTAGCAATCTCAGCAACTTATCACCTTTTCATTTAAAGCATTTTTTTCCTAATGATTTTTCTGCTTGATTTGTGAACAGAATTATCATGTATAAAATTTCAACAGTCTAAATATAAACAAAATAGCAGTTGTTTAATCAAATAAAAATTACTTTAAAAGAAAAAGAAAAAATTCCAAAGATCATTTGAAGTGAAAAATTGAATTAAAATTCTGAATCTATGTGTAAAATTTAAAACATGTCCACAGAACAAATGCAGTAAATAAGCTGACAGATCACAGCCAGTTGACAAAGTTTTGCCTCAAGTGAATTCCTTTGTGTTGTTGCTGCTGTTACCACATTTTTGATGATCCATTCTTTAGATGTATAATTTATAAGCAATGAAGGGATTGTTCCTGATATCCCAATTGGATCTGTTCATTCTGTTTATCCATGTTTTTTTGTTTGTTTTTTTTTTTTTTTACAAATTATTTACTTGAAAAAGGCTGGAGATAACAATAGCAAAAAGTAATAACATGAACAAACCTTGAAATGTTAATGACCCTTCTCAAAGTTATAGACAATAGATTTGGAAATATTTCAATGAAAGAAGCCAGAAAGAGGAGTTTATTAGTAACTTTAAATAAACCAGTGTAAAAAGTGATCTGTAAAATCAACTTGTAATAAGATAGACTTCTACATACAAATTACCAATTACAAAGGAATTCCTTTTTCATGCAAAAAAGGATATATAACATGAACAGAGCAAGTACAAAGGAGATGTGTAGAGACAGACAAAATAAGTGTAGTCCTGACATGGTGACATGGGAAAACAGATCCGAATGGTGAGGTAGACAGTGTGCACAATATGCAACCATTTCTCCTGTTGTTCAGTACAAAAGCAGATTGAAAAGACATGTTGTTAAACTTACCGACATGCAGGCACTCATGACTTTTGAGCCAAGTTGCACAATACTTGTGCTCGCAGAAGCAAGCACATTTATAACAGATTTGTTACAAGAATTTACCAAGTCTGTTACAACCTGAAATGGTTGGAAATGTGACTTTCAAAAAGAAAAAGAAAAGAAAAAGAAAACAACACAAGAGAAAACAGCAAACAAAATGAACAAAGTCAGGCGTGGCAGATTTCACACAAGCAGTTTTCAGACTTAGTAATAAATTTCTCGTGCAAACAAGTCATGATTGTTTTTTCTAAAAGGTCAATGAAGCAAACATGATCATCATAAATAACTGAATTCTCACAAACCTTAAAAAAAAAAAAAAACTTTGTTGTTTGAATTTTGGTCAAATTCTGGTATTACTGATATAACTGGCATTGAAAATCACAACAAACAAAATGAATGAATAACTTTAGGGAAAGAATGAAGGATTCTTCTTTATTTACATGCAGACTATTGTCCCCATTTTTTTTTGGTTACCACAATGTTTCACCTTCAGCCTTTATCAAGTGATAACAATAACAAAGATTGGGACTGTATGTAAATAATGATAACTCATCATCCCAGAAATTCAGGCAGAAACTCTTCTTTGATTCTATCATTAAAAATAACTATGAAGGTGGATCAATAAGCCTGACAGTTATTTGAATTTTGACCTAGTATTTTCACTATTCAATCTATATGATTAATAGATTAAGTGCATGAATAAAGAAAGATTAGGTTAAAAAGAAAATACTCTAAGATAATGGTTGTATCATAAGGCTGTAAATTTATGGCTACCCATTGCTTTATTACACTAGGGAACACTATTTTTAACTTCATGAACCTAATTTTTCATTTATAGACTTAAAAAAAAAAAAAAAAAAAAAAAGAAGAATTCTCCCCTTCTTATCCACTAACCATTAACAGCCTTTTACAATTACTTTTTTATAAAGAAAAAATAATCAGTTTGATGAATTAACCTTTCCAATATTCAAGAAAAATACTATGATTTTCTATGATTATATACTAACTATATTTCCCCATTTGTATCTATTTCTAATCATCAGACACAGTAAACTAGAAAATGCTTTGAATTTTGAAAAAATGTTTAATTTTTCTCAATAAAGAAAGTCACCAAAATTAAACATCAATTATAAATATATTAGTGATTTTTCAAATGACCTGTTTGATTTGGATGTCTAAATCTAGGGGTTTTATTCTTGAATGCTTGAGATAATGTTGTTAACTATAATATCAAGAGAAAACATTTCTTACAAGCACACACAAATATATATATATATATATATATACATACATACACACACACGAATGAATGAATGATTACAGGTATTGGTAAATTTTAAATAAGTAGTTGAGGAGACATTGACCTAAGCTTTTTAATTGTTAATATTTATTATTCTTTCAAACTTTAATGTAGAAGGAAAAGAACTACTTACTGAAGAAAGATCATTTTCTAGGAGTGACCAAAATGATTTGCAAAACTGAATGTCAGAATTTCTGGCTACATGAACAACCTGTTAAAAAAAAAAAAAAAAAAAAAAAAAAAAATGAAATAAGCAAAGGCAAAACAACAATCAATATAATCAACCAGTGCAATAACTGTTACATACCAATTATCTAACACCCTTAGTACTCACTTGATCAGGTTTCTCTAATAATTAAAACAGTAATTATATTGAATTGGTTAAAAAAAAAAAAAAAAGAAAAAAAAAAAAGGTAAGTATACAACTGCCCTATACTGATGATTTCTCAGTCATGTCTATCCTTCATGCCTGTATTAAAAAAAAAAAAAAAAAAAAATCCATGTGTCAAAAGGACAGTTTTTTTTGTTGACACCACTATCACTTTAAACTACCAAGACTCCCTCAGCAATGTTTATTTACAAGATTATAAGAATCTGTGAACCAGGTGCAATATATATTATTTACCATTTTATAAATATTTATTATTTATCATTTTATAAAGAAATAAATTTCAAAAGAAATCTTTTTATTTAAAAATGTATAAAAATCTATAAAATTTTCAACAAATTGTGTTCTTTGGAATGTTTGGTAAAATATTGGTGAATTACCAACCAATTTAAACTTTATAAAATGGTAAATAATAAAGATTTCGTTATATTTGGTTCATATATTGTCATGATCTTGTACATTTTTATAAATTTTTGAATAAAAAAAATTCTTTTCATATTTAATTCTTTATAAATTGGTGAATGATAAACATTGCATTGTATTAGTTTGCATTTTTAGAATATTGTAAATATAAAATTATTTTTGTAAATAAACAATTTAATAAATAGTATTTAATATCTTTGCTGTAAATTCCCAAAGAAAATGTATAAATTTCCTTTCATATGTTTGAGTTTTATTAAAATTCTAATCATTGCTTTTTAAAACAAATATTTCTTAGGGAGTGAAGCTAGTATAAAATAATAGTGGTGTCACAGGAAAACCCTCCTTTTGACACACCATTTTATTGCAGACACAAAAGTTAAACTTTACCAATTTCTCTTCAACTACATAAATTTATGCATTCTGTGAAAAATAATGAAGAGGAAAAAAAAAAAAAAAAAAAAACCAGTAAAAACTTATGCAGATATTTTAATCAGATTTTGTTGTCTGAAGATGATTGGAAACATTGTTCTTATAAGGGGAAAAATCCAGTCAAAATAAAATGTAAAAGTTAGTAGCAGAAACAAAGTTTATTCATACAGAACATTCTACCTAAACTTTCTGATATAATTTTGGTGTGAAATCATAATGCAATTTTTGTTTGGTTCTATCTATTTGGAGCAAGTTTTCATTTGCATCTTGCTTCATATAAAATGTTAATCATAGAAAACCTATTGAGAAAAAAATAGGTCATTCTTACCACTGTAGTTCCACAGCTGTACACCAGATAGCAATGATACTTGGTATCATATCTCCTACCAAAGTGTTTGTGGTCTGCAACACATTTTTCTTTCAGTTTGGGAAGAATCAAAGTCTGTTTATATTTAGTTTCTAAATTGGTATCTTAAATGATACCACAGGCATCTCAGGATTAAGATTATTTGATAAGAATCAGATCTTAGCACCAAGATACTTTCATTAAGACAATCTAAAAATTAAAATTAGAAAATATACTAATTAAGATCCAATGTAAGATGGATTCTTAAAGGTTATCCTCTTCATGTTAATTAGGACATAAGATTACAATCATTTCTTTACACTAAACCTGTTTTGTATTTTGGCCTGTGCTTTATTCCATGAGAGGCTCAGCATTGTCCTACCCTAGGTGGTTTTTGACTGGCCACTCTTTTCCTTGTCAGACTCCAACTCCAAGGAACTTTAGGTATTCTTTCATTGGACATCAGGACATGACAGCTATGCAATCTGCCATTTTTACTATTGAGGAACATATTTCTACTGCCTATCCTCTTGTACACTTCCTGATTAGAGATCTTGTTAGATTAGACATCTTTCTAGGCAACTATTGTAGAAGACATACCCCCCCACCCAATTTTCTTTAAAGGTAATGACAATTGGGAAATTTTTTTTTCAGTTTTTAAAATATGTCTTAAATCATATGTAAATGAGCCACTTTCAGTCATCTCAAAGAATTTAAAATGGATTTGAAGCATAAATATGCAAATTTCTATTTTAGTTTTGATTACACTTCTCTTTTAGAAGATATATTTCATTCTTTCTACACAGGAAAGGTAAGTAATCATTTTACTAATTTTCTTGATGTGACTGGTTACAAAAGCTGTTTAAATTATAATGATACCAAATAATTTACACAAGTTTTCACTTCAGAGGCAAAAGTGGTTTATACTAATTTATAGATTTTAAAATGTTCTCAATACACAAATACAGAGTCTAAATTTTTTGAAATCATGTGAACAAATAACATGACAATATTGGCAAAGTTTAATTTTCATATCGACAAAAAGAAAAAAAGAAAAAAAAGTGTGTCAAAAGGACAGATATATTTTGACACTGCTATTATTGTATACACTTTTGACTCCCTCAGCAATGTTTATTTACAAGATTATAAAAATTTGTGAACCAAATACAATGCAATAATTATTATTATTAACCATTTTATAAATAACTATGAAAACAAGTTTTTTTTATTTATAATTTTATAAAAATATTAATGAATTATAAAACGAGAAACTTGGAATAAACATATCTATTTCAGTTTTTAAAACAACATTGCAGAGGGAGTCAGAAGTGTATACAATAATAGCAGTGATAGATAATAACTGTTCTTTTGACACACAGGTTTTTTTTGGGTTTTTTGTGGGCATGAAGGTTAAACATTGTCAGTATATTGTATTTTACTTTGCTAATATAGAATGTTTAAAGGAAAAAAACCCAAGAACACTAATTTCAAAGATAAGACAATCATAAAAAGAAAATAAATATTTGCAGCAGTTTAATACCTGGCGTGCTCGGAGTTCAGGATCTAAAAGGTATTTGCCACTGCTCAATAAAGAGCAGGCTACTTTCATGATATTGTTGGTCTCATGGTAACCCTCACTAAAAGATGCTAATGCAACAACAACACCCAGCAAAGGCTTTCTCATTGAATCACAAAACTGAAAAAGAAAGGAAAGCAAAAATGTTAGGCAGTGAAAAACATTAGAATAGAGAATTAACATGAGTATAATTCAGTGGTTACAACATTGGAACTCAAATCTTATGGTTCAATTTCTACTGACTTGTAATCAATAGTATTGAACTTAACAAATAAACTAAATGAGAACTTCTTGTGCTATATACCCTGGTATATCAGAAAGAGACAAAATTTGCTCAAGGATAATTTGATATAGTTAACAGCATGGCTTTATCACAGAAAGCCATGGTGATACTCAAGGTTATTCACAATCAAATGAGAAATGAGTGTGTCATGAGATCACAGATTGGTTAAGAATCACTTAACAGAAGTAACAGACTTTTCTATGTAGATATATTTTGCTTATTTAGTTTGCTTTGTTTAAATATGAGTCTTTAGTAAATCTTTCATTTTAGAAAAAAATTAAGTTTTAAAGTGGGATTGAATGAAGTAGTTCTGAAATAGAAGTTCAGGTTATAATATAAATATTTTGAGTTAAATTTCACATTTGAATTGATCAACAGTTTATTATATCAGGGTTCTTGCAGTGTGATGTCGTGCATGGAAGGGTGTCCCTGCAAGCACCTCCAGTGGGCAACCCCGAGGCCCCACTATGTTGCAGTCTGTGCCAACTCCCTTCCTGCATGTTATATTTGACACTCAACTGTTACTACTATTACTACCCTATGCTTTTCCTTGCCAAAATAACACATCATGACTATAAACAACCAAAGCCATAAATGTAAATCAGCTCAACAAAATCACCTAAACCTTTCTTTCTTCAACATTCATGATATTTGTACCAACTTCTGCAGTGTGGAATCATTCCTCTTAGAAAAGTCTTTGGACATCCTAACTCTCTGTGAAAGTAATCTTAATTCTTCAATCCCCACCTCTGATTTCTTGATTCCTGGCTACCTTCCTTAGAAAGGACTCTAATGTCCCCATGCATGGCCTGAGTTTATGTCTGCACACATCTCCTGCTGTCTAGGGAACTCTCTGTTGAATCTCTGTCTCACTACTTAACTCAGTCAGCTATCTCTTCTTTCCCTACTGTTCGCCTTCCTCTCAAGACTGTTGCATACTAGATAGAACTTCCTACACCCGTTTGCAAATATATTTGTGTTTGGTGACTTTAATGCCCACCATATCAGGTGGCTTAAAAACTGTCATGACATCCAAACCCTTGACTTCTCTATCACTCAATCTCTCACGCAAGTGGTTGACTTCCCCCACACACTTCCCCAGTAACCCTGACAAACATATCTCGATCTCTTATTTTTACCTCTATCTCTGACTCTTGTCGTACTATGCAGCTCTGCTCTCTTGGCAACTCTGATTATGTGATTGTGTCTGTAAACATCTGCTCACCCACTTGCCAAGAACCTCCTAACAACAGAATATCTTTGTTATCAATGAACAGATTAGGACATGTGCTGTGATTTCCTTTGTCATGTCCCTTGGAATGAAGTATTTTTTTTTAATCATCCTGTTCAAAAATGTGAAGTTGAGGTATCCTTTTGGGTGAAAGCTGGCATTGATGCTTTCATTACACTAAGGAAACAACAAGTTAAACTGCATTCCTCTCCTTGGTTCTCAGCTGCATGTTAAGCTGCTAAAGTCCGCAGGAATCACTTCTTCTGGCTGTACCAGAAAGACACGTCTGATTACAACAGACATCTCTTTGCTCATAACGAGTGTAAGCATGTCCTTAAAGAAGTGAAATTAATGTTTGCTGATAGACTGAAATAATGTATAGCAGCTTGCAAATTTGGGCCTAGAGATTATTAGTGGCTCTGCAATCAATTTGAAGTCCTGACAACTAGACGCGTCATCGCCTCCCTCTGTCTGTTCTACAAATACTTTCATGGAAATTGCTCCGAGGAGCTGCATTCGCTGGTTCCCAGACGTCATGAGTTCCAGCGCCCTACGAGGCTGGCATCCCGCTCTCACCCCTTCACTGTCGAAACTCCTAAATGTAGCCGTCTCTTCTACTCTAATAGCTTCATGTCTCGCACCTCTCGCCTGTGAAACTCACTTCCCTTCTCCTGTTTCCCTGTGAGCTATAATCTCCAGCTCTTCAAGTGTAATGTCAATCGACATCTCCAGTTGCCTTGATCTATCCACTACCCTCATCCTTTCTTCTATCACTCCTATCTGATCTTGCTCTAAATTTTCTGTAACCCCTTGCGTCCTAGTGGCTTCCCGCCTTGCTTGGGGTGAAATGCTTAAAAAAAAAACAAAAAAAAAAAAAAAAAAAAACAACTACAGCAGATAAGGTTGAATGCTTTGCTTGGAAATTCTCTTCCAACTCTAAAATACTTTTTTAGAGTACCACACCCAATTTCCCCAACAAGACAGAGGTTCTACTGAGTGATAGTTGCATTAACCCATCACTGGTCTTAGACATCATTTCTAAATTAGACTCCCATAAGGCAAGTGGTTAAGCAGCTTAGCTCTTATGACCTACTTTCTGACAAACAATTTGGCTTCTGTTTTGCCAGGTCTATTGCTGATGTGCTAATGACCATCATTGAATATGTATATCAAGCTCTTGATAATAACAGCAAAGCTTGAGCTGTGGTTCTAGATATCTCGAAGGCATTTAACAAAGTTTGACATGCTGGTCTTCTACACAAGGTCCAGGGCTACAGTATTACTGGACAATTGTTTGATTTAATCCAATCATTCCTATCAAATCACGTAATGAAGGTCATTTTGAATGGGCTTGCTTCTAGATCCTTTTACATGAACACAGGTGTCTCCCAAGGCTCTATCCTGGGTCCTACACTGTTTCTGATCTTCTTTAATGATCTTCCTGATGTCATCAGTTCCCAAGTAGGCATTTATGCTGATGACACTACCATTTACCCCTGTCTCAATAGCAAATCTGCCAGAGCTGACAAAATTAACTTGGCTGCTGCTCTTGAAAAGGACCTCCAATCTGTGGTTAACTGAGGCAAAAAATTGCTTGTAAATTTCAATGACTCCAAAACTAAACTGTTCTAATTTAACCACCATAGAGAATATTTCCTGCCTCCCATTAGCATGACAGATGATAGACTTATAGAGAACAACACACTGCAGCTTCTTGGCCTCATGTTTTCAACTAACTTGAAGTGGAAAGACTACATCGAATCAATAGCTGTGTCTACTGCAAGGAAAATTATGCTGTGCCAAAAGGTTTTTCTTGTCTGAGTCCATCTTGCACATTTACAAATCTACCATTTGTCGGTGCATTGAATACTGCTGCCATATCTGGTCAGGTGCTCCTGCTACTCATCTCAAGATTCTTGACAAAATTTAAAGAAGAATCTGCAATGTAATTGATCCTGACTTGGCATCTCGACTTCTCTCTCTTTCTCACCAATGCAACATGGCTTCCCTCTGTCTTTTCTACAAATATTTTCATAGCAACTGCTCTGATAAGCTTTTTTTCCTGGAGCCTGGGCTATATGAGTTTAAGTGTGCTACTAGATTGGCATCTAGGTCCAACACTTTTACCGTTGAATTAGCTAACTGCTACTTCTACTGCAACAGTTTCTTTTCTTGCAATTCCCACCTGTGGAACTCCCTTCCGTTTCCTTGCTTCCCTGATAACTACAATCTTCAAAAATTTAAATGCAACGTTAATTACTATCTTCTAGAACCCCGTTCAGCTTTTATTCTTTCCTTGGTCCCCCTTATACCCAATATTTTTCTCCCACTTTCACTCTCTGCAACCCCTGCATACCAGTGGCATTCCCAACTTGCTTGGGGTGAAATGATTAAAAAAAAAAAAAAAAAAAAAAAATAATAATAATAAAAAAAGAAAATAGACTGATTTTATGCCTATATTTATAACTGCTGATATTGAATTTAATGTTTGAATTGGATGTAAAGCTGGACCCTGATTTTGTGCCCATTTATGCAAATATGTCTATGAAAGAAAGGCAAAATCCAGTTAAGCATCTCTGTATTATATCTGGTCAAAGGGAAGAGAAGACTTTTAGAATCTCTTGCAAAAATTTTTTATCATTTTACATAGAATCATTGCTTCAATGTATCAAGATTGTTCAGCAAACTTTTTTAGTACAATGAAAAAGTTTTACAAAGACTATCTAAAAGCTGTTTTATTTTTACACAGCTCTTATCACTTTCTTATCATTATATCACTGTCCCACATGTGGGCTGAATTGCTACTTTTCTTCTTCCAGAAATAGTTTCTTTGTCAACAAACAACAAAGGACTCCAATAAAGGAAAATTAAATGTTTCTCTCTTACAATGACTAAGGTTATCAGACTAGATCTTTAACGAATAACTGTCACAGAAAATGCTGTTCTGTGCACTTTTCCTGGAGAAATTCTCTATATAATATTCTCAAAAATAGTTGAATAAAAAAAAGTTACATTTTGCCAGATACTACTATTTGCAGTGATTACTGGAAAGCATATCGCAGTCTGAGAAGCTATCATTCACCATTCCATCAACCATTCTGATGAATTTGTGACAGATGAAGGTGTGCATGCTTAAACTATTGAATGATACTGAGTGTGATGTGAAACCAAGAAAAGTTCATAATCTAAGTACCTAGCACAGTATCTATTCTATAAAGGGTTTGCTGAGAAACAGTCACAAACTTTTGGAAACAACTGCTAGATAAACATCCTAATTCTGTGTCAACGTTATATACATTTAAAAATGGAAGCCAGCTAATCAGTAGTCAGAGAATTAAGAAGATTTTTCTTGAATTTCTTTACAAATTAGTGTTCCTTCTTTAGTAGGAGATATTTATCTTATATAGTAATTGTAATTTCTTGATGAAATATTTCTAATTTTGGGGACAATTTCATAATTATTCTTTGAAAAAAATCATTATTATTCTTTGAAAATTTGTGGCTAACACAGAGTCTAAA